AATTTGGGGAATTCCTTACAATGCTATTATAGATTCGGGAGCAGCTGTGTTGGCTATCTCACTGAGAGTGGTCGAAAGGGCAGGTAGGAAAAACGCCCTGATCATGCTTTCTGAGAAAGATCAGCTCGTTTCGGCTGACGAAGAAAGAATTAAAACCGTGGGAAGAATGACCAATGTCGCTTTCCGATTGGGTAAAGTGCATGCGCTTGGGGATGTCGTAGTACTAGATGTCAATACGTACGACGTTCTCTTCGGACTTCCCGCTCTTGTGGCGTTACGAGAAAACCTGGACTTCGAACGACGATCGATCGTCCTCCGAAATACAGGAGGAAAACCCTACGCTGTGCCCATGCGATTGACCCTTCGCACTACTATTAACGGGGTTCCGCGGGTTTCGCCGATGATGGCAGGGACTCTCCGCATGATCTCCTGGGACGAATCCGCAGAGGGAAAGTCATCAACTGATGATGCGGACAGCAGTGACGAAGATGATCCGGAGATCTTGAAACTAGCACGACAGCGCGTTTACTACCCGCCGCCCAAAACGATAGCGAGAACGATGCAACTGACCAGCCGAAAAATTCAAAGAACCAAGGCAATGATCTTGGGTGAGCCCCTCGTGCAGATTTCGAGGATGGTCGATTCTTTGGAACCCCCTCAAACCCTGTAAGAAGGAATCACCCCTCTCCTCGCCCGGTACAGCGACGAGAAGCATTACTGTGACATTACGGATCTACCCAAATCCTTATTAACATCGGCTAAAGAAGTGAGATTGTTACGCTTGGGGGCGGAAGCAAGCTCTTTGGAACCCCCTGGGCGTTTTTAAGCAGAAACAGACGGGATGGGGATAAAGATTGCAACTAAGGAAGTGCCATGGCAGGATGTTTGTGACGGGATTACCCCGAAAGGACACGTGGCAATCCGAGAAGAAGATGCCCAGATGATGGCCACGGTGTTCTCCCGGCGATCGGATCATTCATTCATCTCGGCGCCTCCACCCGACTTGACAAAACAGGCGAACACGAAATAGATTGACGTTCGGATCTGGGACGAACTTTTTGAACTGCACGTTCCACAATACGTGCCGGATGAAATCCACCAGGTAATTGCGGATATTCTAACGGAATATCAAGGAGCGATTAGTGTGTCAGACACCGACGTTGGGTTGTCGTTAGTAATCCAACATGAAATTCAGACAGGAAATCACTCCCTGATTCATTGCAAACCTTATCACTATTCCTTGATTGAACGCAAAAAGGCTCTCGAACGAATTCGGGAGTTCGAAGCCAGCGGTTGGATTGAACCCGCTACTGGACCTTGGTCTTTCCCGTAGTGTTAGTATCGAAGAAGAACGGAGCGATTCGCATTTACATTGATTATCGCAAGCTGAGTGAAATCACGATCAAAGATGTGTATCCCCTCCCTCGGATTGATGATCTGTTGGATGCAATTGAATGCGCTAATTATTTCAGCAAGTTTGATATTCGGCATGGCTTCCATCATATTCTGGTAAGGGAAGAAGATCGGCCGAAAACGGCCTTTGTGTTGTTTGAGGGCACGTGGCAATGGGTTAGGTGTCCGATGGGGATTTGCAATGCGCCTGCCACGTTTCAGCGAGCGATGAACATGACGTTCCAGAACTTCGTCAACAAGACGTGGCTGACGCAAGGAATGATTAACTTCTGCGTGATCGTGTACATGGACGACATCCTGGTCTATTCGGAAACCTATCACGGGCACGCGCAACACATCGAACGGACATTGGGTGCATTGAGAGACGCTGGGTTCAAGATTGCGCTTGAGAAGAGCGAATTTTTTTTTCCTCTCGGAAATTCGGTTTTTGGGCTATGTCGTGACACGTGGAGGATTGCGGCCAGACTCGAGAAAAGTTGCGGCGGTGAAGGAAGCTCCGGTTCCCACGTCACTGACGCAG